CAGGAGACCCTGAAGCATGAGCTGTACCCAGGGACACTGTACTGGCAGAAAACTGGGCAAAATATACACAGATTATTCCATCAGGAAACAACAGCCTCCACTGCAGAGAAAGATAGTGAACCTTACCAATCTGGCATTCAAAACAAAGCTTCAGATTCTGGGTTGGAAAAGAAAGTGGAATATGGAGCATGCAAGAATGACCGACTAGATCCACTTTTCCCTTAGATGTCCATACTACCTCCCAGCAATGGAACATTTTTTTCAGCCCTGACTAACTGCTGGTGTTTAGGAGAGAATAAAAAACAAAATAGAGACAAACAAAAAACCACCATAGAATAACATGAATGATAACAGAAAAAGCCCTCCCTTACTCACCATAGAAATCATGCTACCTAAGATTTTTATTACTGTTTTAATGCAGCTGAAGGCCGATACAAATTTAGACTCAAAATATGGTCTCTTGATCTGCTTCTGAAACTTCTAAGTAGATACACAATCTAACAGTTTGTAATCCAAGTCACGATGAGTCTACCATCTTTACAAGTAGTTGTACAAATGTTTTACTATCTTCTTAGACAGAGGGCTGGAACCTTATAGCAAAAGGGAAATAACACGGTTTAATTCTTTCACCAGTGGATTGCACCATGCTTTCATATACAAAGAGTGAACTACAACAGCAGAATAATGCCTTCTGAAAGCACTTCTTAGCAGAAGTCCATACAGAAGTCTATGTGTTAATAATGGAAATCGTAGCCTATACCAACAAGCAGTGCACACTACACCCAGAGGATCAGTGATTTCTCTGTTGTTCTACCTTATGAAAAATACCTCTTATCTCAAAGAAAAAAAGATGACTTAGTGATACTAATGACAAAAACATAGGGAACAGGCCAACAGCTCAGAAGGTTCTCCTATAGGGGGCTGAGCCTGAGGCAGACCTAAGGGAGAGTCACCCCACTGGTAATTAAAAAGCACAAAGTGCCTGACTGAGCTCATTAAAAGTGTTAATAATATATGTACATTGAACATGAAAGAAATGAGAGATTTCAGGCAGCTGCCAGTCCAAGATAGATCTCTTCATGACTTAATTTCCACCCCAATCAAGCCAGCAGCAATTAGATGTTCACCTGTTTAATGGTCAATACCTTGGATGACATAAGTTACAGACTACACAAATTCATTTTCATTAGCTTGTTCATCACTTTATATTGCAGTATCTCAACCTTGTTCACTCTGAAAGTATATCTAAAAATGCACCCAAACCATTATTTATGTTTATCAGTCCTCAGTTTGTAAAATGATACCCACATTACAAAAAATAACATCACAAGTAATGACCTTGTTCAGCTGTACTGCAGATAAGAAGCTTGAAGGTCCTCAAACAGCATAACATCACCAGCAAGCACAGAAACTGATGTCCTGACAGACCCATGGGCTTTAACAAGGCTACCCACATACTCAAACTGCACCCCTGAAACTTTATTCTCCAGACTTGGCAGCTGGTACTTAAGTTATGGGTGCTGTACTTGCCAAGTGGCTCCGGAAAGTTCAGAAGAGAGGGATTATCAAGGCATTTCCCACCCTCGCCTTTTTCATTCCTGATTTCTAGGGATGTGCCAGCTGCTAATTAGTGTGAGGCAGAGGCAGCCTGTAGCTAGCTCTGATTCACCACAGCTTTTCCTGGGCAGCTTCTCCAATGCCTCCCCAATCAGACTGTGAAATCTCTACAAACTTAAGGTCGGATTTCAGTTCTAATCTTGGAAACGCAGATCCTTCCCTCATACACAAATCAGAGTAGAAGTATCATTTTTTATGTAAAAGATTGCTGTCAGCTGCAAAATACAATTTAGAGGAATGTTCAAGTCACCACTTGTTTCTCTATACGTGCCAAATCTCCCATGTCCTTGAGGCAAAGGGCTGCATCCTTAGTGAGATGCCATCTCCTCTGTCAGATGCAAGAGGAGCAAATCACGGATAGCAGATTTCCAAAGCCAAAAAGGCAGATTTGTCCATGTGGACAACCTTGTCCTAACAGCCTGATACTACTGCGATCTGACCTTGGTTACACATGCACTTTGCTCTGCTTGTCCTGCTCCTTTCCCTCATAGGTTCTGAGCACTACAGTACCAAGCTCATTATCAAGAGTCTTGTTCTATGACAGCAGAGGAAGGAGGAAGCGGCACACAAGAAAAACTACAGCATGTCTAATTTTAGCTCAACACTATTTCTGATAGAATAAGTTCAAAGGCAGCATAAAAGTTGCACTCAGTCTGCTCCCATTAAAACCCATGACAGTTTTCCCAGCAACTTCACTAAGAAGACTCTATATTAGGAAAAGCATACGTCATTGAATTTGGACAAAACACACTTAAGAGACAGAGCTGTGACAAAGGGGGTCACAGTGCTGTAAATGTACATGGTGACTTACTCAACCTTCATCCTATTTGACAGGACTGTAATAACCCAAAAGAACAGGACACCAACGATGGAAAAAAAAAAAAATGGTAAAAGACAAGGAGGCAAACCCCTATGACCTACTGTGGTCAGTACTCACTGTGCAATTCCATTTAGCCCAGCTGCCTTTCCCTAAGAATGAAAGCACAGCTATGTAGGCAATGCCTGCTTTTCTAACAGCCAAGTACCTATGCCTGTGCATGATCCAGCACTTAGAGATCAACTGTCACATCCATGTGCAAGGGAAAGATGAAACTGAAACCAGTTCCTGTTACACACACCTGTATCCCATCTCATAAAAGCTGAGAGCCATCATGTGACTCCAGCCCGGGAAGAATCTTAAAGGCCTCCACCTGCAGCCAGTGAGGCACACGGGGCAGAAAACAAGTTTAACCACACCACGCAACTAAAAACAGAAGCCCAGGACTTGTGAAGTTTTGAAGGAGTGTGATCACTATTGTTAAAAACAATATAACTTTTACTACTAAACAGCTTCCCAGACATAAGACCTGAAAATAATTAACTAAATATAACCTGAAGTGAAGGTAAGGTCAAGCTTGAACATGCTTTAAAAACTGGAGAAAGTTGAATGTGGCCCCTGAATTAAGCAGACAGTGCTGGGACAGGGGGGAAAGCAACCACAGTCAACATGGTAAACATACTTTAAAACATGAATACGAAACTAAGGTTTGCTACTGTCAGACACCAAGGTGCCTGTGTGAATTCACATGTACAACTCATCTTTCCCATGTTAAGAATGCTGTTGAATTGCCACTTTAAAATGGGTAGGCACTGCAGAGAGAACACAAGACTCTCTCATTGACTCAATGAAAGCCAGTAATATCAAGGCTTTGTAATAACACAAGTCTAAATGATTTAAATAGCACTTAAATGAGAATCAATGCCTCTACCATTTTATTCTTTATCCCTCTTACACTCATTAATGTCAGTCACTTTGCAGCCACAATAGCTTTGTGACCAAGGCCATCTACTGGTGAGTGGCATGTGCAAATTAATGGTGGTTTTGTTGGCCGCATTTAATTAGTGCTTGTCAAGATTTAGACACATGCATTGAAATTGTGCCAAGCAGCTGTTTACAGTTGAGCAGTGTCAGTAATTAGTAAACATGACCACAGTTTTGGATGAACAAATAAATAAACAAAGGCTTCTCAAACTCCACATGAACCTAAACATGATTTTGTCCAGGGGAGAAGAATGTGGTACTTCAAATCTCCATCCCCAGTTCAAGTGTAGTACAGACACCTTGCGACCTCACCGTTCTGAATAATATGATCAGAAACATCAGCGCTGCTAATAGAGATATGAATTTTACTCTAAAAATCACTACCACACCTTGTAACATTGTTTTCAAGAATTACTGGGGTCTGAATTGAGAAGTTTGGAGGCTAAAATTGCAAATAGTTTAGATTGGTATGTATGGGAATTTACAGACTGTACACCAATTGTACTTGTGCTCCTGATCTAAAGCAACAGAAATGGAAGTCAGGCAAGGAGATGGAAGAGAAATAAAGCACACCCAAATCCTTACACACTATGATTTCTAAGGTGATGCCCAAGATAAATCAGTGAGAGAATTAGGGAGCACTAGCATGCTGTGACATAGAGCTCCCCACGTTGTTCTCGTGTTCCCTGTTCAGCATGATTACTCCTAAATCATGAAGATGTTTCTAATTAAATGCTCCCTTTACCTTTTTTCTAAAATTTGGTAACACTTAAGTTAGTATTATGATTTTTGAGTAAGGTGTTTGAATGGCAGCACTGGAAATCCCTGAATTACGAAACAATATTCTCCTCCATCTTTGCCTTTAAGTCTTAGATCAAGATGAAGCGAACTTAACCCTTTACTCATCCTTTTTGCCATGAGAATTTGGGACAACTTTATATAGTATGGAAATGTATTCACTAGGAGCTAGCTTGAAGACACTAAATACATTTCTTACCTTGGATAACAGGAGGTTTGGGTAGATATATTTGGATGACAAGATAGAAACCAGAAGTTTCTGTTTTGTAAGATGACAAATGCCCTTCAGTGACACTCACTTCAGTCTGATTAATTCCTATGATGATCAGATCTATGACAGAGAATTTATGGATGGCAAGTAAAAAGGAGGCAAAGCTTCCTGTAAACTTCAGTGCCCTCTTCTTGAATATGTACATTTGTCCATTCCTTCGCAGTTGCGTTTGGGGTTGTTTTGTAGGGGTTTTTTTTGGGTGGGGTGGGGTGGTGGCTTTTTCTGAAGCCAATACTAGACTGTAAATCCAGTTTAATTACACCAGTTTTATTCACTGCAGAATAAAACCACTTTCCAGTACAGTAAGGTTAGTAATTTATGCGCCTTTCAGATTTATTTTGGTGCAATAAGGCCATGGGTAGTTCTGCACTGATAGAGATTTTAAACTGATAGGATAATTTTAAAAATGAAGATTAGGGGGGAAAAAAACCCCAAACATCCAACAGCTGCCCCATCCTCCAAGACAAATACAGCTTTGAAAATAAAATAGCACATGTGAATTTCCAATGACATCTTTTTTTTCCAGCAAAACTATGTTATCATCAATTTGGAGCATGTTCATATCAAGTAACAATTTTATAGTGAATGAAAAAACAAAATTTTTTTCATTCTTAGTCATACATAAGGGTCTACTCTGCCTTTGCTTCCAAAAATGGAGCACTCACTAGTAAAAGGGCAATCCCTCATCAGCCATGACAGAGACTCGCATTTTGATATATCCAATCAAACAACAAAAATAAAGTAACCCAGATTAAAAATTAAGAAACACAAGCATTTCTAGATAGACCTGTTTTACTTCAAAATGAAAGCAGACACTCCTGAACATAAAGATAGCTTCACTGGCTTTTGTCTTCTTTTGCTCCACAATAATGACTTCTCTTCTAAGTGCATCTGCACACTTCACTAGTGTTCTGCTTGTTTCTCCTGTTACTATGTTAAATACAGCTGATTGCAGCTTCTTGCAACACATCATTCAGTGGCCAAACTGGACATGCTATCATTTAGCATCACTCCAGCAAATGGCCCACAGAATAATAAACATTTTTCACTTTGCCTCAAATTTCTCCAGACTGACTGACAGAATGGCCATATATAATTTTAAATACAGAATTTTGCTTCTCCCCTGAAGACAAGGCTCTCTGTCATCACTGAACTTTGTCCACAGGACAAATCACAAATTTTCCATTATAAGGCCAGGCTGCTGATGCTAAGACAGAGCAAAATACCATAATTATTTTGGCAAGATTTGACATAAAAACTTGTTGATGAGCTTTAAACATTCTTCTCATTAAATCACTGCTGAAGTATGGAAAATTTAATTTATATTTTTCAATCACAACTACTGTGAATAACAGTAATTATACTTATTTTACACTTGGCAAAATACTGCACGAATCTCTATAACATGCCTGGCTAGAAAGCCAAAGATAAAGATCTTTAAAGTTGAGATAGGGGTTAAAAAAACCCTGTTATGATCTCCTGTTGATCTGCATATAAAAATCTCAAGCTACTTACACAAGGGATCTCATGTTCCAGAAACAGATAATCTGAGAATCAGGAAATGGTTAAGTTGCAACATCTAATTTTAATGATTTGCTCATTTCTTCAACAAGGATTTCAAACAGAGGACTTTATTTAGTTTCACTGTTTGGTCCTCTTCTAAATTCATGTTTTCAACTGATACTACTTTCATAAACCTCTAAACTTGGAATTGACTGTATGTTACTGGATTGAAAGGAATGTTGGTTTTATTTTTATATATATGTATCTATCTATGTATCTGTATCTATATTTGATCCATTTCCCAGTGCAATGCTAAAAGTTTTTTCTTAGTCCTGTACCAAATACTGATAATGGCTCTAACTTTCTTAATCTCAAATATATTCAAAAGCAAGATTACCTCAAAATGAACTGCTGAGGCTAGACAATCTCAGAAGTCAATCTACCTCTATTTCATCTTGCACATTATTCAGTTACATATTGTACAGTCCCTAGGGAAAAAAGAAACATATGAAAATAACTCAGAAGGGCTACCAGCCATGAAAGGGTTGTTTGTCTTCAAGTAGTACCATTTCTTCTCAGAATGTAAGAAGTCAACATACCCGCAATACTGGCCTGCATGAAACCGCGCTGCATAAATGCCTTGGATGAGCATTAGTACTAATTAAACTTGTACATTTCCCTGTTCCAGGGAAAAGGCTTTATTGCAATGCTGCAGCATAGTGCGAGTTTCAGAAACAATTCTGGGAAATCAAATGTACAAAATTCATCCCTTTTTGGAGAAGACAGGAAGGGAAAAAAAAGAGACCCAAGAAAGCCTGATATTTGTTACATCAGAACATTTACAATGGTACACAAAAAGACTGTAGAAGGCATTTATTCTAATAGTCTTGGATGTTCAATCCGTGTAATTGTCCAATCTGGTTTTGCTCCTTCTGTAAATTCCCTTTGGAACCTGAAAAATGAAAGACAGTAAGTGAAGAGTTTTTAAAATTTACTTGATCCTTGTTGGTGTTAGTATCTCTTTAAGAAATCATGAAAAGTTATTCTTGTATAAGCTCCTTAGACTCTGATGCTTATGCCCCAAAATAGAAGATCAAAATGAATTCTATAGGAAGAAAAAGAGTGCACAGACTTCAGAGTATTTTGGTTCAGATCCCACAGACAGCATCAAGCAGCAACAGTAAAGACCCTGATATCAGGAAAGCACTCAGTTTTCATAGCAGTAACTATGAATACACCTTTGTGGCAGATCTTCATCTCTATATAAAGGGTTTAATTTAATGGGATGGTAACTGCATTGTAAAGGGAAATCACATGATATGCACTGTACCTGAAAATTTTCATTTTTACTGAACTGTACTTTAAAAAGTAATGTATTTTCAAAAAACCATCAAAGATCAAGCCAACAGTAGTACTGAATCTCTATGTAAAAAAATTCCACAGTTGTTGATAGGAAAATGAAAACATCCATCCCTATTTTCAAAGAACCTTTTTCTTCCTTTTGTAGTCATTAATGCCTTCCTCCCTGAGTATGTCAGGTTTGACTGCTTGTCAAAGATATGTCTGATCTTCAAGCCAAATATTCATGCTCCCAAGTAACCTGCATATTGTGGACAAGAGCAGTATAGTCTCATTGATTTACAATTACATGCAAATCCACTCCTGGAAACTCTTCTCCAGACACCCAAACACTTAACACTAGGCTTCCAAGGCCTGTAGCGTCTTTGCCCATTTGAGTTTAGGTTAGCACTGTAAATAGAAGAAGGAATGCATACTTGCAAACATCTTTCTGCTGGGGATTAGGAACAGGTATTTAGGGCTTTAAGGGGAAGCTCTTGAGGTTAACGGAGCCTCAGAAGCCTCCAGCTTTAAAATGATGCTGAATTCGACTAAGGGATGGGTCCACAAAAATCCATCCAGGCAAAAAGCACTGGTGTCCTCAGAGTGCTTCCTTTGTTTCAGAGCTCCTGATCTGACCATCTAGACCCCATAGTCTTTCCATTTCAAACGTGGATGCAGAAGTCATTGATTATATTGCATTTCTTTCACAAAAATCCTCACTTTTTCCAACTTCTGAGAATGTTATTTTCAGTGTATTTCGCCAACCGTGCAGATATTTCTGTACTGCTCTGAGATCAGTAAACTAATACAGACATTACAAGCATTTCTATGAAAATCCATCTACTTAACATGTGCTTTGAGGGCTTGGATCAGGGGGGCATGAATTATCTGAACACCAAGTGATGTCTGCCTTGTTCTGCCTTTCTGCAGAAAACATTTGGCTAAAAAATTTCCTCTTTCATTAGCTATTTTTTCAGCTAATTGCTGTTCTGACTTTTGTGCGGGAAGTGACAAGTCAACAGCACCACACTTGACTGCTTCAGCTTGACTGTGTTGCTGTTAGCTGTGCTACAAGAAATGGGAAACAAGGACTGATACTGGCCTATTTCCTGAAAACCACAGCAGTATAGGAAAGGATCAGAAACCTCATTCAATGCTCCAACTATTGCTCTTTCTGACAGAGAATTCCCATTAATCTCAACTCAGAAGCAAGGTAATAACATAAAGACTTTAAGGGGTATTTAAAAAATTTGGTCCTAGAATGAAAACTGGAAAGCCTGATGAGAACTAACTGAGATTAGAATCAAGGTAAATTAAAATGTACCAAGTTCTGCACTGGCACAGCGTAGATGCTTTGTTCCCAAACTGCTTTCCACACAGCTAGCTCATGTGCACAAAGAAAAAAAAAAAAGGAAAAGTAAACTTACTCATAATTTGCTGTTAAAAGATGTCTTTTTTCTTTTGTGCTTTCATCTCCAAACACAATCTGGAAAACTTTGGTTTCACCTGGTACTTCGTCAGGTAGGTTAGCACCATTCAGATACCAGAAACGCATCAGAATACTAACAAACTTCCTTCCTGTTGGAAATAAATCAAAGCATAAGCTAGGTCTCGTTTTTCTCATTGGTCAAATACTCCTATTTGCTATCTAGCATATATTCTAGTGAGACTCTGGAAGGGCAGCTGACTTCAGCCATAAAGAATGCATGACAGAATAATAACCAATAAAGCTATTTAAAGCCATATTGATGCTGTTTAGCAACAATAAAAATACACTCTGTATAACGGTATGTATTTTATCATGAGTATTGTTGTACATAATCAAACAGTATGAAGAAAAGCTTGTTACCACAAGGTCCAAAGCCAACTACTGACACAACAAAGTGTAGAATAGTCAAAACCCAGGAGCAAACTAAGAGAAAAAAAATTCCCTATCCCCCAAAACAGGGAAAAAACCTCACCAGGTCTGACAATTTGAAATGCGCATTGGAAGACCCATGGTTATACTATAAACCATCTCAGCTGTGTCTGATCATGGACTGAGCACAAAATGCTGGCATTTAACCAAAACAAAAACCTGTTTGAGCTCATCGCTAGCTTAAAAAAAAAAAAAAATATAAAATCAAGAAGTCCTAGAACAAAGTATATTCCATGAAAGCAGAATAGAAGACAGCAAAACTTATTTCATTATCCAGCCTTCACTATTCTTCTTGGAAGATACAGTTTCATTGCTGAAGCAATAGCTTTCTGCTTGGAAGATACAGTTTCATTGCTGAAGCAATAGCTTTCTGCATATAGTAGAATAATTGGTTTTCAGTAGTTGGGAGATTGCTAAGGGCTAATAATGTAAAAATCCGAAGCAAGACCTAAACAGAATTCATAACAGTACCATGACTTATTAACAATAATCTCTCAGGTTCTGGTTTAAAAGAAAATGAGGGAATTATATATAGATGAACTATAAACATATATATATATGAATATAAACAGAAGAACAAGGAATGAAAACAGTATTTAAAAACACATCCATAAGGAGAATGCCTGCTTAGTAGCAAAACCAGGAAGTAAGACAGCCCACTGCTGAAATGTTTTAGAAATCTAAACATACCGTCATCATCATAGTAAATGCGAACATCTCCTTCTGTCGTGTACATGATTGCATCAATGTCAGCTGCTAAAGCATCCCTGTGGTTGTCAGGGAGCAAAGAAATCTTTTCCTTCAGCACCTGAAGTACCTATATTCAGAAAAATTGTCCATTTTTCCATTGGGAAATTGAAGTAATAATCTTTTCTACTGCAGTTAATAAAAGGAGCTATATTGCTAAAACATTTGTATAACATATACAACAGCAAAAGTGAAAAAGCACTGGGAAGTTTGGGCACTCCCCAAACCCAATTCGGTGATACTAAGGAAGATCCATTTAATGCTCAAACCAATGAAAACACTTGCAAAACAATGAAAACAACGAAAATACTTACAAAAATGTTTAGAAAAGGTACTGCCAAAACACAAGTTGCAAAGCAAGGCGTGTAAACCCAGAAAATACCAGGCCATCTTGTTTTCACAATCATACTTACGCTCTGCCTTCCCACTACGGATTTCTCGCTATCTGTATATTCCTTAGCTTTTGATTATATTATTTCTTAGTTATCTTTAACAAATTTCTTTGAAAATCTGTTCCATTACCACTAAGTTTACCTTTGTCATTCTGTGATCCACATTCCCCTTAGAAAAAATTTAAACACTTGCAAAACAGAAAAAGACTGAAAAAATCATCGCTCTGGGACCCAAGTTCCATACCGCATTCACATCCATAGTATTTGAGTGTCCTAAGACCTACAAAGCTGTGTTAAGTAGAAAGGTTATGGTGCACAAACCAAACAAAGGCATCACCTCAAACACCACTTGAGAATGACACGTCACAAGGAAGGATGAAGCTGTGCAGCATTTATTTTTAACTCGTACTCAGTTTTTAGCCTAAATTGAATTGCCATTTTTGAGTAACAAACAAATCCAGAGGTCACGTGGAAGGAAGAGGTGATCTTCACTAGAAGACATTGGTTTCTCATACGTTTTGCCAGTATAAAATTCAGTGGCCAAAGCAACAACAAAGTAGTGTGGTATCACAGCCTCATCCACTACGTGCTCTGGTTACATGAGGTCTCTGGATCAAAGTTAACCCAATCACCTGAAGAATTTAAGATGAGCAGAGGAAGAGGAGATGCTCTTTCAAAACAACTATGAGAAACAAACTCACATTTTATTGCTACCTCTGCTCAGAGAGGAGGCAAGATTATCCAGTGGGGATGCACTAGTGCAGCACCAAAATTTCTGCTGCAAAGGCATGGGTGGCAATGGGGCAGGCCAAACTGACAGCCAGTAAGGCAGAAGACATAGACCTGAAGTATCTCCTCCACTTGACTCTGACGCATCTGCTACCTCCGTCCCCTGGGAAGGCCAAGACAACTTCAGCGATTAAAAATCCATAAAAACATGGAACACACAGCACTGATGTTTAACTAGCCAGGTCAGCCATATGCCCGAGACCATGACACAAGGCTGAGGCCTTCCAGCCAAAACCAGTAACTGGCTATATTGCTTGGGGGCGCGAATGTATTAGAGCAGCAGGGATGAGCACAAAACAGTTCCTTTCTTCATCAGAATTCTGGTGCACAGGCCAAAAGCGTCAGCTATCTGCCTACACCAAGAGAGGCATGCAATTCTGTTTGCCATCCAGAACCCACCCCCTTTCAATCTTTTCTGGTACATCAACAATCTTTTTGGCAATTGGCCCTTATGCTCAATGGCAAGAATATTTTTCTTTCTTAAATACAGTAACTACACATTAAGTTTCATGCCTTGAAATTAAACATAAAAAAGCTGCAGGACAAACAATTGCCCTGTTCCACATTATGCTGGTTTTCCCAAATTAAACGAAACGGGCAGTATTTATAGATAATGACAGGCTGAATGCATGTTACCTCATAACAGAAAATCAATTGCTAGAATAAGAGATGGAATGCATTTACCTCTGCTGATACAAGTTCATCCAGCAGTTCAAGTTTACGCTGAGACAGCAGCTGTGAAACAACAGAAAAGGCCTACCAAAAAAAAAGGAGAAATACATGATCAAATAACACTAGATTGGCTTATTTTTCAGACAAATATATCATTATGTGACAAGCAACCCAAATACTCCATGATTTAAGGTTTCAAAGTTTGCAGAATATATCACTATTGAAATGGAAGCCCTCCAGCACTAAAAAAGTGATTCTATGAACTGATAAAAACATAAGGTTTCTTTTCAATCTCTCATTTAAAGCATCAAACCTTTTGCTAATAGGCAAGTGAATACATAGCTTACTAAAAAAAAAAAAAAGCATTACAGTAATCTATGTAAGTTGGTTTTACTCTCTTTTTGGTAATTCAGTC